AAAAAAAAAAAAAAAAAAGGCCTAACTAAAAGATAAATGAAAACTTCATCCAAAGTGCTATTAAAGCCCTGAGAAATGAAAGGAACAAAGTTCTTATCCGGAAAGCAGAACTGATATAACTTCTCTTCAAGTACACAAAGATAAAGCAATTTGCATAAAATCTTGCGATATCAAGTAAAGCTGGCAAAGTTACAAAACTGTTCTTTCTGAAAATACTAAATAGACAAATAACAAACGATGTGAACATATAAACAAGCACATGAATTTTGAATTTCAGAGTTCTGCTTACCATCATGAAAGTGAAAACCATAACTGAGAATAATATCACCACATACTAACCTGCATTTATCTCATTCATTGCTTTCCTAACAGCAGGATCAGGGACGATATCCACCATCAATATGTGCTCAATGTTGTAACCATATGCTCCCATCACCTGATAAATGAAATCTAACTAAAATAGCTTTTGACATCATAATATTGGCATAATACTTCTGAGTTCACATAATCCCCTTTTCAAATATTTTCCTCTCTCTTTCGCATCCTCTTCAGTCTCGTTTGGTTCCATTTAAATTATATTAATACACACCACAGAGATCCTAATAATTCCACCAGAGAGGACCGGTTTATTGATATCAGCTAAGCAGCTATCAGATTATATATCACCATCAGTTTCATTTCTATTTATCATGTAGAGTTATACAACACACATTAAGACCAATCATTATCTAATATAATTAACATAAAACAACTAATTTACACTTTCAAATTTGATCAGGGTTGACTTTATGTCATTAATCGCTACAACAAAATCAAGTACAAACTCAAGACAAGCAGGAAAGTGGGAAAGCAATTAAATCTCCAATTTTCTTGAACTGGAGCACAAGATGAAACATTTTGCTTTGTAAAATGAAGGATAGAACGAAATTGGGGGAGTACTAAGTAGCTATATCGTCTAAGATCCTCGGGCCTGTTGAATCATCCAGTTTACTGAATCCATAGTAAACACCCAAAGTAGTATTGTGTAAACAACTCGTAATATTGATATTTCTCTCACACCTCCCGTCGTACAAACTCCAGTTCCCAAATATAAATTCAATCATACCATATTATAGATATCGATTTGGAAAACAAGTTTACCTTCTCCAGTTCCTCCAATACAGCTTGAGCCACATCATTTTTTTGTTCAAACAGCTCATCCAAAGTCATTTTAGGAACATGGGCTCGGACCACTAGTAACCAAGTCCACAACATTAGGAAAACAAATATACATAAGTAAAGGATGTGTAATTAAAATATTCGCAGAAGTATACTGTACGTACCATCATAAACATATGACTGAATCTGCTCTCGAGGATTTTGTAATTCATAAAAGGCATCATCAGCATTTTCCTTGATCACTCTATACTGAATCGAACAATGAATCTGAACGAAAACATTGTCCTGTTGCATTCATAATGTATTAGTATGTTCTGTAACACGAACAAATGGTACAATGAAACAGAGAACTTCATACTCCCAGAGTGATACATTAACTTGCAACATGTCCAATATTCCAAAATTATATTTTCACTTTAGTCTTAAATACCCTTTTCTTACTATGAGTTAGCTTGGTCCCATAGCAGTAGTAAGCGTTAAAATATGGAAAGAACGGTCAGTTTTCCAACGCTGTAGCACAAATCATAGCTAAATTTGACGGCTCATTAATGCGCAATCTCAATCAGAGAAGCTTCTGTCAGTTGTACAGTTGTATCGGTAATATATAAGATGGTAGCATTTGGCATATAAATAGAACTCAATAATCAGGCATTCAACCATATGTACCAATTGAAGACGCAATTGCTTATATTTACAGGCACGAGAGTTGTGTTTCATCTTAAAACAGTGACCGGTGTTTGTATAGTCATGATTCATGTAAGTTTTCAAATAAATATTCAAGGAATCAAGACTTCACCATATTCCAAGATGATCCAATTAATTTTAAACCCAATAGTCCAACTACAACCTTCTTAACATGGAAGAGAGGGTGCCTATTCAGATAGATATCACAATATGATTATTAATATGATTATGAATGTGATGGGAGAGTCAATTTGTCTTTGAAACTTAAATCAATGAAAAACAACAAGTTACATGAAAACAAAATTCCTGTTGTTCTTCAATATATTAGTGATTTCAAGGCACAATTACACATCAAATGCTAACGAACGATCCTTATAATTACACAGAACAAGGGTTATCCACCTATTTAACAAGATCCCCATGATTTCGTCTTGTTTTCTGAATCTATCCGCCCATACAAGAATTTCTACACAAAATGTAAAATTCCTCACAGTTATCCTTTTAATTTCCTCTGACTAACAAGAACAGAAATCAATTCGATCAAGAACATGAAAAGATTGTAGTATAGAGTAAAAAATAACGTCATCAACTCTCCTTCACAATCCTGCGCGATCACACACACACACACACACCCCAATAGGTAGGTTAAAAGATAACGAAAGGACCTTAGTTTTAGTCTCGATTTTGACGTCGAGGGAGTTTATTCTCGTGGACAGGATTCCGGCGAGGCATTCGCCGGCGAAGGGGTTGAAGAGTTGGAAGCCCGGCTGAGCGAGGCGGTCGAAGCGCCCCCACTTCTCGATCACACCTACGCTGGCTTGGTCTATGCACCCGCAAAACACACAGTAGGCGTTCCCCATAGCTCACACCACCCACTTTCTCTCTCTAGAGTTTTCGCCGTTCACACCCGAAGAAAGAAAGGAATTTGATGAAATCACGAAGAACGGGTGAGTTTAACATAAGAAATCCTAATATGACCTGACCATTAAACGGCCCGGATTTGAAAAGATTCCATAAGCCTTAGGTGAGCCTCTGTCCGGTCGTCCAAAAACCGAATCGAACTGAAAATTCGGTTCGGTTAATTCGAATTTTTACTTTAAGAAATTGAACCGAAGATTTTTTAAAAATCAAAATCAAACCGAATTGTATAACATAAAAACCGAACTGAATTCGGTTCGGTTCAATTTAACCGATTACTGCTCACCCCTAGCCCATTAGTTATAAGCCTTCAAATAAACCTCATATCCGTATTAACGGCCTGCTCTATTTGGGCTTGACAATGAATTCCCAGCATCGGCCCATAATCCCTACGCACTATTATTCGGATATTCTTCAGTAGTCCTCCGACTCCCATTAATTACCTTCAGCCCCTTCTGTTTCAAACAAATTCAAAAGCTCAAAAAACAGTTTCCATCTCAAATTCCACAAAACTGAAGGAAATAAATAAATTGTGTAATCACAAAAGGAGAAACGAGATAAAGAAAATTATTGGAAATGGGGAAAGATCTGAGCGACGATCAGGTTTCATCGATGAAGGAGGCCTTCACCCTGTTCGACACCGACGGCGACGGCAAGATAGCGCCGTCCGAGCTCGGGATCCTGATGCGCTCCCTCGGCGGAAACCCTACGCAGGCCCAGCTGAAGTCCATAATCGCGGAGGAGAAGCTCAGCGCGCCCTTCGATTTCCAGCGGTTCCTCGATCTGATGTCCAAGCACCTCAAGCCGGAGCCGTTCGATCGCCAGCTGCGCGACGCGTTCAAGGTGCTAGACAAAGACGGCACCGGATACGTCGTCGTTTCGGACCTCAGGCACATCCTCACCAGCATCGGGGAGAAGCTGGAGCCGGCGGAGTTCGACGAGTGGATCCGCGAGGTGGACGTTGGGTCTGATGGCAAGATCCGGTACGAGGATTTCATTGCGCGCATGGTCGCCAAGTGAGAAGGTGATTTTTGTGGCTTTTGAATTTGTGTTTCCTCTGATTATGTTGCTATTTTTCGTTTAACCCTAAAAAATATGATGGTGCGGGTTTCATTTCGTTCGATTTTGCTTGTTTGCTTTATGGAATGAACATTGAGATTCATCGGCAAGATCTTATGATTAGGCTTTACTTTATTGAATAACGGTGACAAAGCAATTATAGTTCTGAGAGGAAGAGGATTTAGTAAGTAGTAGCTGCTGAGTTATTAGTACTATGAAGTCAGAGATTGATTATGGGAACAAAAATGCATTAGTACTATGAAGTCAGAGATTTAAAAAGAAGATTCGGTGATAGGTCTTACAAACGACTTATATCAACATAGAGTGTAATTTGGCGAAATGATTATAAAAGAGCTTCAAGTGGTTAGAAATCCATTGTGGAATAACATTTTGACTTTGTCCTGTGAGCCTTAGATCTTAGTGGATTTGTTATGAATTATGAATGGTTGAAATCCATAGTTTCAATCGTCGACCCAAATGATACATTAATTATGCAGTCGTGAATTAGATGTCGAGAATTCGGGTAGATTTTTTTGATTGGTTATTTGGTATTTTGGCGAAGTTAGAAATTTCGAATCCAATGTTAAGTCATAATTGAATTCTTCGGAAGCATTTCAAATATTAAACCTAACCGATCTAGCTTCTACACTGGTGTGGCTGTTGAAAGATCCGTAGTTATGTTGCATTGTTTTTCCACTTTAGAATTTCTCAAGGTCTAGTAGACATTATGTAGCATAATTAGTAAAGATGTCCAATTATGATATGTGTACTTTTAGTCTTTTCTTTCAATACCAATCAAGTAGTTTTCTGTTTCGTGTCTTGCTGTAAGAAATCAGAGATCCAAAGTATGAGCAATCATATAGCTCTTGCACAAGAAGCCTTGCAGATTATGTACCTTTGGTACTTCTCTGTACTTGGTGGTATTTGCACTTTTAATTCTAAGTTGTTGTTAGAGTGGTAATGTGACCTTTATTATAGAGAATAATCTAGTCCGCAGGACACTGACCACTGATGTGGGGTGGTCATTCATGTAGTTCTGACTTGTCATTAACTGTGATGTCATTTTTGTGAATTTTAAATATATGTCTTACATATCCTTTCGAGCTGGAGAATTTATTTGTAAGCTAATGAAAGAGTACGCTTGTCGTGTTCACAGTCTGAAGGTTTTCTTGGTTTGGAACCCGTGGTGGAACATGTTGTATTACTTACTTAATTTGTATGGTTACTCCTTAGCATTATAGATTAAAATGTTAACGAGATACTCAGATACAAAGTGAAAGGGTATTTATATTACTTTAAAGTGAAATGGGAAACTGAATAACCTTCTTTCTTTGTTTACTTGGTAGATCAGGGGGAGTATAGAGAATTTTGACATTAATTTTATGTATTTTTGGAGCATATGTTAGTTTGGGTCACAACAGTCGGGTGCTGTTATTGCAGCAGATTATGTAACTTCTGGGTAAGGATTGCCCGAGGTCAAATGACCAATGAAGAATAGAATAGGTGTGTATGTATTATATGAACTTTTCAAAAATATGTGTGGCCCATTAAATTCAAATTTGGAGTGCACAACGGATATGACCTTCTCATAGGAAGTAAATTTATTCTTAGGCATTTTCAATCTAGTCTTCTCTATTATGTGTCACGATGTGTGAAATTACTTAACAAAAGTTATAGATTTCTCAAGAGTCACCGTGGATCATTTTTAATTGATATTTCCATGAAATGCCTATTTCGACACTGTGTATATTATTGTAATTAGTATGTTTCATAAGTTTGAAGATAACCCTCCTATGCTTTTACTTGCAGGTAAACATGTTCCAGTCGTGTTTATCGTTTTGAAGTGGGAACCTGTGTTTTTCTTGTTTTAGAGAGTAGTTTTGTATTTCGCATGCTGAATTGCACTTTTATTATTTTTTTCTAGTCTCATATTGTAGTTCGTGTAACTTGCGCAAATGTGTTGTCGTCAAGTTGAAGTTTTCCTGGTTTTCAACATTTTAAATTCGTTGTGTTTTGGTAATATGAATTGGCTATGTACAATTTCTCCAAAGTAGTGTTCAACGGGTGTGTATAGCAGTAGCTGATGCATCCGAGTCCTGATGACAGGCATCCATATTGTCTTTGATTATTTCCTGCTTGAATGCCATCATTTTGACAGTTTTGCTGTGGAGTTATCGGATGGCTCGACTTATTGAGCAATTCACACTTATTCGTCATTGGTGTATTGACACATGTCTTACAATAAATACAATTTAGACAAGTCTTAATTACATTATTGAGTGGTGGATGACTCTATAAGAAAATCATCCCGTTCTATAATTTTTGATCATTTTGATTTGGAAACTTCAATGTAATAAATAATTCCCAAAATTATTTTAACATAAAACCAATTGTCCTACTTTTTAATAAATTCAAAGACTCGACTTTTAAGCACCAAAAAGAAAAAACACCAACTATTATAAGAATTTTTTTTTTTTTTTTTTTT